CAGTATGGCCCCTTGAGGTGAAAGGGGTGGGGAAGGGGTTTATTTCATCTTCTGTCCCCTCTCCCAACGGGGGATCCCAGTCAGGGTTTGCCTGGCCAGGTGTGAGCAGCAGAGCCAGCAGCTGGGGCTTGCAAACCCTGGCTGCAGTCCCCTGGGAGGAGAGGGGATGGAAGGAGGAATAAACCACCTCCCTGCCCCCTTCATCTCAGGGGGCCATGCTGGGACGGCATCTGGCCACTCCCCCACCCCTGCTGCTGGACTGGGCAGGGGAGGGGGGACCTAGACAGGGCACCAGCTTCTGTCATGGCCCCCCAGGAGTGCAAGCAGAGATGAGTTTATTCCCCCCTCCCTTCCCAGTCCCACTGGCAGGGACCCTAGCTGGGGTCTGCCTGACTGGGTGCAAGCAGTGAAGATGGTGGCTGGGAGAACAGTGAGCAGGGTGTGTCGAGCTCGGTGCCTGGGGGATACAGGTTATAGGGCTTGAAACTGAGGGGACGAGCCCATGCCATGCACATTGCTGCAGAGGCTGGCGCTGCCCCTGCTCTCTGGGAGGTAAAAGGGGCTGCCAGGCAGGAGCTGCTCCCCAGGCTTCATGCTCTGTCCTGGGCTAGCTCCCTGCTGGTGGGACGGGGGGAATTAAACCTCCTCTATCCCAGTTTGCTTGAGGCTGCAGATGGGGCTGGCCATGCCCCACCACCACTGCTGGAGCAGCGAGGTGGGGGGGATGCCTGCCAGGGGCTGGTACACCCTGGCCAGATACACCCCGGCTAGGGTCCCCTAGGGGGATAAGGGAGAGAGGGAAGAATACACCCCCTCCCTGCCCCCTTTGCCTCAGGGGGCCATGGCAGGTTGGTGTCTGGCCACACCCCCACTCCTGCTAGGCTAGAGAGCAGAGGGGCGGGGCCAGCCCTGCTCTCAGGAGCAGAGAGCACAGCACAGCCCAGCACTGCAGAGCATGCTGGGATGTTGGGGGGGGTCTCTGTTTTAACTTAAATAAGGACGATGATTTACTTGACTTAATTTAAGCCAGAATTTCACTCCTTAAAAAAATAATGAAGTTGCCTCTTTGTGCACCCATACGCGCACACAAATGCATGTATGTGCACATACACATACATACATGCATGCATACATGCACACCTGAATGTCAACCCCATTTTTACAAAGATTTTGGAAGATTTCTGGATGTTGCTAATATATGGGACTCTGGAGGACTCTGGTGACCCAGAACTTCACTCCTGCAGAAAGTCTAAGATGGAAGAACCCACAGAAGAATAGCTTCAGCCCGTGTAGCCCTGGAGGAGTCTGCCAGCAGGAAGCCAAGGTTTAGACAATTGGGGTTATACTATGTAGCCCTTGGGTCAAAGTTACTTGAAATTACAGCATAAATAATCAAGTAAAGGACATATTTTCCTTACAAATAGGTTGTTTATTCTTCCTTTTTTTCAGCTTCATGTGTTATAAGAAAAATAACGTTGAGAAGCCATAAAGAAATGTATTGAATCAGGATGGTGTCTGTTTCTTAATATGAAAAATAGCTGTATTGGTCTATGATTCATCTGCTAGTTTTAAATATTGTGGAGTTGCAGGGTATACAAACCATATGTGATTATTAACACTGAAAAAGTTTAATTACATTTCTTTACACCATGCTGGCTTTTGTTGATTGCTAAGGGAGAATTCAAAAGCAGAAAAATGCCTAATGATCTCCTCAGAGCTATATTTTTCTTCCTGCTTTGTAATGTAAATGGGTATTTTGAAAAACACCACAGACTCAAATGCTCCATCAGCGTCCTTTCTGCTTTTAACAGAAGGATCACCTGACTGCCACCTAGAGATACCCTTTCACTGAGAAAATTCAAAAGTAATAGGTAGGGATGGGGATAGAGTAGGTCATCATTGCTGAGAAATGTAAAGGACCCTGACTAAACTGGAGCGGAGTTAGGCTGCTGGTGGGGGTGGAGAGAGAAAGCGAGAGAGGGAGAGATGCGTGTGGGGGGGGAGTGCTGCTTCATCTTTTGAGAGGAGGGAAAACAAAAGAGCTCAGCTGCAGTTTTGTGTTTCTGTGTCTGGCTTTAGCAGAAAATTCTAGACATCCGTGCTGAAAAATCAAAGCACAGCTGAGACTACATCTATCAGGAAGATATTTTTTCCCCTCAGAATGGGTTGGATCAGTACAGGTGGTTTGCAGATCATGCGAAGACAGACTGGCTGAGCACCATGGAAAGGTGGGATAAGACTCTGTGTCTCTTTCTGTCTTTTTTTGCCTCCATTCATAGAGCAGTGAGTCAGTGACCCGGGACCTGATGAGGGGTCAGTTCAAATGATTAGGTGGGGTTTAAAACCCCATAAAACAAAACCAAAAATTAGAGGCACTACCATATTCAACCAGATGTTGAACCCAAACTTGAGCTGAGTCTGACTCGGCTTATAGCATTTCTGCATGTTGTCTTTGGTGTTGTCTTTGTTTGGAATAGTTCTTGCAAGAAAGGACCAGACCATAAGACAAAACGCACGTTTCATTGTGAGATGACAGCTTTCATGCAGTTAAAATTGTGCCAGGGAGACTGTAAATGGAGGCTTTGATTGTTGTGTTTCTGGAAATGAAAGAGCTGTTGACTTTTGGAATTTCTTGTAATGTTGGCATGATTGGAAGTTGAACTGCGGTTATTGGTGTACATTGTTTGAATGGTAACAATGGGTAGTTCAAGCAGAGCAAGTTTGAATGGTATTTCTTCAGCAATTCCAAATGCATCTGACTCCTACACTCTCTTGCTTTTCATCAGACGCTGGGAATTTCTTTCTTTCCTGACAAAATGAAACAGGGCTGAAAAAGGAAAGCAGTTAATATTTCTCAGTTTCATGCGTTTATCGTACCATAGCTATTGTTATATTAAAATGTCTGAATATCTAATACGAGTCCCGGTAATATCTTGTTTCCCTTGCTGTGTGGATGCATTCCTTTTGTTTCTGAACATGTTTTCTTCCCTTGTCTTTCTGAACAGAAAGCGTTCCCTGGTTTTTGTTTTTCTTTTAATGGTAGCAAGAGGCTGGCATACAAAGTACCCATTGTGCACAGGTTAATGCTCTGCTTCATTCTGAAGTAAACTGCCTGGAGGTACTAGGAAGAAGTGGGGGGGGGGGGGGGGGAGGGGGAAGTGCTTGACTGGTGCCTAAGAAATATTGAATTCAGATGATTTAAATCACATATAGGAAAATCTATTTCTCTCCAGCTGAAATTCAGCTCCTTGTCACACCAGCTCTGCAGACCGTAGCAGGGAGATTCTTAGCAACCAATAAATCAGATTTGTAATGGGCCCTTTAAAATTTGTCTGCGAGGGGTGACTGCCTGGCTCCCCTTTGGCCAAATTAAGATGCAATCTGACAGTGCACGAGCAGCTGTGTGCTGACATTTTCTTGTGAACCTAGTGAAAAATGGCTCCATATCTTTTTCCTAGTCCCGGGAAGATGGTCTCTGAGTAGCCATGCATTTTTCCTGTATTGTTGTTTGTTCCAGTTGCCGTTCTCACTGATAGTGTCTGGCTGGTCATTTCAGTGTGATTCCCTTTAAATCTGTGCTCCACTGACAGAGGATGGTAGTACGGACAGATCCTGCCTGGAAGTCAGAACCTGCGCCAGTACTACTGCCTAGACAAGAAACGTTTATTACAAATGGGTCAGAGAAATGCTGCTAATAATGTTGCTCCTTTCACTGTTAATGGAGTTAGAGAAGTGGGCTGAAAAGCATGTGTCTTAATGTACCATCTACTGTAAAGGAGGAAAATGCAATCCAGGTGTTAGGGAAATTGACAGGTATAACTGCAAATCCTTGGAATAGAAATCCATTTCTGAAAGGATAAAGCTACCTTTGTTGAAAGAAGTGTGTGCTTATTCAAGGGAAAAGCTTGCATTCAGATACTACTAGACAATGGGGGGGAGTAGTAGGGGGGAATGCACTGCTTTTATTGTACTATGAGTGTGCTTATTGAAGAGATTCCTGTATCAAATGGCTATTGAGTATGCCACAGCAGCAGCATTTTATGTTCCTCAATTCAGGGTTCAGTTTATAAAATCAGTGGGCAGCAGAGGCAGGGTGTTCTTGGAGAAGCTCAGTTACTCGGTGTATGTGTAAGGTGACAGAAGGGGGCAGAGCTTGGCCATGTTCCTCAGTAACAACCCATACCATCTGATTCATGGCATAGGAGGTGACTCAGGAGGAAGCTGCTTCTTTAGGAGAATAGAGTGTCTTAGAATGAGCTACTTGCACAAAAACAGGGAAAATATGGGATGGAAAGGGTGGCTATGGGACGTACTGAGTTATAGGGGTATTCTCCAGGTAATTCAACCAAAGTTGTTTGATGAATGCCTAATAACCTGTCTTCAGAAGAAAAAAAAATCACTGAAAATATAAAATGCCTTCACTTCCTTCACATTTTAAGTTACTTGTGTCTGCATTATTACAGACACAAGTCTGTATAAATTATGATTTACCGTAAGAAAGCAATAGTTTTAAAAGCCTCCACCATGGAAACAAATGACACAAATGTTGTGTCATTTAGTCAGTAAAAGAGGCATTACCTCTTAGGTGGTGGTTAGCAACCAGGTTGTCTTAGAAGGGTTATAAAGCCCCCCAATGTTACTTGCCCATCTGTTGGATTTTCATAGAACTAAAAGCTTGGGTGCATAATATGATTTTGCTTCTCCGGGGGAACGATAGACCTTCTACACTGCATGTAGATCTGATTACTGCTTTTATAAATGTAGATAATTTGCTTGAAGTAAATGGGCTGCTTCATGGAAATTGATGCAATTACAGTGTAGAAATGTAAGAAGAAAACAGAGAATACAAGGGGAAAAAAAACCCTCCTTGAGTACCATCAGACAAAGAGTAATGCATGATATAGAAATGTTGTGTGTCTAAATCAGACTGACCATATTTTTTTAAAGCAGGACAGTACAGATGCACCTTTCAAAAAAGTGAGAGCCATCCAAGGTGATTTCCAGGTGTGTTTTTTTTTATAATTTTAAACAGTGAGAGCCTAATGCTGAGCAAGAACACGCTAGCTTTCAAACCTAATGAAACACATTGAAGGAATCTGCTTTAAATGATCCAGTGAAGGCAAATAAATTGTTTCAGAAAGAAAAAGGCAATAAACACAATCCAAATATACTAGACCAGGGGTTTCCAAACTGTGGTACTCATACCCCTTGGGGTGTGCAAGACATCTCTGGCGGGTACATGAGAGGAATGATGTAATGGTGGATTTAATTTTCATTATAATATGAACAGGCATTTAAAGGGTTAAAATATAAAATGTATGCTGGTAGGGGTAGGTGGGCAGCTGGTAAATCTGGAAGGGTTCCGAAAAGTTTAGGAACCTCTGCGCTAGATGGACCCAAATTGTAGTCCTGGTACTATCACTGTGGTTGTAATAAACAGTTGTTCATATAGGCGGTATTAATAATAAAATTCCAATTTAAGAAATGGGAAAGGAAATATTGGCATCTTTTTTCATACTAAATTAAAGCTGTATCAGGAGCATTGTGATAAGATATGGGATACATTTTGGATTATAGGAGTAATTTTAGTACGCTGAATGGAGGTGGACTGGAAAGAAAGTAGAGAAAAAATATGGTGATGCTCTAGAGACTTAATTTCTGATGGTCATTTTCTATGAGCTGTGCAAGTACACTCCCTGGCTAAAAACATAGGTTAAACTCACCTACAGTCCTGTTAATCTGGAGGCATTAAATTGTTCTCAGTGAAGCTACACTAGTTTGAGAAAAGAATTTGGACCATATTCTACCAGGCTAACAAATTTACATTTTCATTGAAAAAGTCAAAGCAGCAATTGTCTGTGTTCTGCCTGGTAGACTCAGCAAACAGCCCAACAATTTCCATTTGCTCTGTTATCTTCAGTAACAAATGCCCTTACAAAAATCATATGTTCCACGACTGCAAGATGAAGTAAATAGGCATAAGGGGCCAAATGCTGTTCTCAGTTGTACAAGTTTAAACTTTTTGGCATAAATTACACCAACACGAGAGAGAGCAAAAGTTGGCCCATGGAATTACTAAAACTGATGTGATAAACAAAATTTTCACTATTCTGTATTTTTAAAGAGAATTGCAGGCATGCATTCATAGTTCATTCCAAATCCAGAAGTGCTTTTCCTTACTAGACTGGACCATGTACCTGAGTATTAGTGATTCCCCTTTATGTAATGAAAAATGGAACACCAACACCAGTGTTTGTTGAAGACAGGATGGTTTATTCTGATCTGCATATCAAAGGTACCCCAAATTGTTTGATGAAAGGCAGGAAATCATTTTGCTGAGCAAGCACATCAAATATTTCTGTCATCTGTATAAGAACATAATAGATGCAATAATAGGTCGGACCACAGGTTCATCTGGCCCAGTGTCCTATATCTCACAGTGACAGAGTATTTATGCAGGGCCTGTGTAACCTGATGTGTCCCCTATCTGTATAGCTTCCAGTATTTAGAGGCCTATAAGTCCTCATTTGGAGGTTGCAGCCCCAACTGTCATGTTTAACAACCACTGATGGACCTTCCCTGCATAAATTTGTCAAATCCTCTTTTGAACCTGGTTAAATTATCAGTTGGCCTCAGGTTCTTACCCCTGTCTCCTCTCAAGTCATCTGTTTCCTTCTCAGTCTAGCAGCTTGGCCCTCACCTAGGATGTCTTTGTTTGTTCCAACCAATCCTCTGTTACTTTGCTTCTTCCGTGTGTCTGTGTCTAAGAGGTTCAACTCCCTCCCTCCCCCTTGTTTTTCTCCTGATGGAGTGAAAAGTAAATGCCAGGGACATGGGTTGCGTGGAAAGTATGCCCAGGAATTCAGGAAGCTCCTTGTAAGTGACAAAGTGTGCCTGCCACAAGATGTGCACAGCAGAAAACATGTTGTGATCCAAGTATTCCCTACTGAATCTGCCTGAAAATCCTGTATTTTAAGTGCTAAAATTGCTTGAGAAAAGTGTGACTGTACTGAGGGCCAAAATAATTGAAAGGCAAAAAGTTTGTGAGTTGTTCTAAAAAGAAGTAGGATTACTAGGGTTTAGGAACAAATCTTGCTTCCACTAAATTCAGTGACAAACTGCTTAGTGATGGCAGGGGAAATAGGAATGGACCTTTACTATATGCAGGTCGGATGACCCTACAGGAGGAATAGTTAGAGTTCCTCTTCAGTGCCTTCCCTGTATCAAGGAAATAAGGGAGTGAGGAAGACAAATTGAGGTTTTGGACTTCATTTGGTTTAAAACCTCCCTAATTATCACTAGATTTTTCTAATTTTTGTGACTTGTCTAAAAACAGGCAAACAAACAAAGCCTGTGTGGGAATCATTCCTTAAATCTAAGAGTTAAATTTTTCAGCTGTAAGAAACTTCACTGACAGAAATATACATAGCCTCAAGGTGATGGAATGTGAGTAGACCTGGTCATGAAAAACCTTGCAATGGGGTGAGCACAGCACAATAAAAGCTGTATCTCCCAGTCAACCTCTACTTCTAGTTAAATAAGTAAATGACAATGAAGTACAGTGGGAAAAATTATTATAGTTACAGTACTTGAAAAGACATGGCATAAATTATAACAGCATGCACTAAATAACAGGAAACAAAGACTGCATCAAATTCGCAAATAAATATTTAGGTCTTCTAGGGGGTCGGAATTGCTTGGAGCATATTAATGGTTGTGAAGATTTTCATTTTGTCTCGACAACGTACAAGCCATCTGCTAGGTACCCTAGGATCGCAAGAATATAGTTTTCTTTTCACTGCATTAGCTCTCTGTCCAATACTGAACTCAGGGGCTAAGTATAGACAGTCAAACAGCCCAAGGCTGAATCGGTTCAATTTTCTCAGGTTAGTCTAAGCTGCATAGATTATGCTGAGTGAATAGATGTTCACTTTTGATTTTGGAAATGCAGCCACATGCCCACAGTAGCCCAGGCCAGAAACCAGGGGGTGCTAACGCACACCTCCCTGTTTGGCTGGAGCAGACAACTTGGGCCAAGATTAGCTCCCCACCCTGTGAAGGCGAGTTTGCAGGGAAGGTACACAGCATCCTGGGGTGCTGTGGGACTGTGAGTTAATTTGAATCTGGAGGGGATCTGGGACAGAAGTTCAATAAAATGATTTAACCTAAATCAGTTAAGTCTGATACTACATCCATCCAAATGTATCTTAAACTAGTTTCAGCCACTTTGAAAGAGGTTTATGTGCACTGAACTTGTGTGTTACAGATTTGAACCAGTTTCTGATCACTTCTGTTAGTTTGTGTGTAATTTCTGTCCCTAGCCTGTTGATCTTCAGAAGTCTCAATGAACAGACTTGCCAAATAGGCTGTTTCAGTCCTTATGGCAGCTATGGTAGGCCTTTGACCTAACTATATTCAAATGGTAACTTGCAGGGGCTTGGCTTCTTCTGTAGCAGACCTTCCACTGAAATTCCTTTTCCTCAGAAATGAAGCCGTCCATCAGCTCTATCAGTTTTCTCATGTTGCCAAACGAGAGAGCTATCTGTTCCATAACTGATAGCATGAAGAATGGCATAGCATCCCTAAAGATAAGGAATCAGTTAAGATCTATGATATATTACACTATTTCTTTGTGGTCTAACAACATAATACAAGGAGAGGTGAGGAGTACAGTCCATCAGGTTGACTGTGTTTTTATATGATTTGGTTGGAGTTAAATACAAAAGTGGTCAGTGCTTTGGAAATACTTAGCTGAGTTGCAATATTGATTGAGATTCAGAATAATCAAAACCCACACACAAATTTTACAGCTTCTGTGAGGTTAGTTCATGATCTCTATCGGATTCCATTTCCTGATCCATGCCACTGGAAGTTTCTGTGCTTGTATTTTCACTGATGGTATGAGTATTTCCTGGGTGCCTCTGTTAGGCTTTATATTGCTGACCAAAAGACGCAATAGAGCAGTCCTCTAAAGAGCAGAGTTGCAGTAAGAGAAGTAACCATGTGTCATGGAGGATCTGTTTGTCTCACTTACTTCACTAACCTCTGGATTAATCTTGTAAACCTTTAAGGATTGTCACATTTTCTATCATAGAATCATAGAAGTAGGGTCGGAAGGGACCTTGCAGATCTTCAGGTCCGACCCCGCTGCCTGGGCAGGAAGAAAACTGGGCTCAGATGACCCCAGCCAGGTAGGCATCGAGCCGCTTCTTAAAGACCCCCAGGGTAAGAGCCAGCACCACTTCCCTTGGAAGTTGGTTCCAGATCCTAGCCGCCCTAACTGTGAAGTAGTTCTTACGGATGTCTAATCTAAACCTACTCTCCAACAACTTGTGGCTGGTGTTCCTTGTTATCCCGGGGGGCGCTAGGGGAAACAAGGTCTCCCCCAAACCCTTCTGGTCCCCCCTAGTGAGTTTATAGACTAACTATCTTAGTTCTTAATCTGCCATACAGAAACAGAAGGGAGATCTGTTCTGAGACTGAGCTTACCTTGTTCATCCTCTGGGTGGTTGGATGTTTAAACCCATTAAAATAGTCAGGAAAATCTGTTCATTTTAGATTCCATTTTCCCAACACAAGTTGTTGTCAGCAGATGTGCTGCAGAATAGTTGGCCTGGTCCTTCCAAAGCAGGTTGGGATATGCTGATTGCTGTGCTGTTATGTTCTGCAGATTCAGCAGGTACAGTATTTTATCCTAGTTACCTTGAGACATTGGGAGCTAGGACATTCTGTAACTATGCTCCTGACTGGAAGTAAGTGCCTATTACTGTCTGAACTGCCCATTGTCTCAGCATTTAAAACAAAACTGAGGAAACATATTTTCTACTGCTCTCAGGTTTCCTAAAAATATTGATCATTTTAATTTACTGATTATAACATGCTCTATGCTGCTTTTGTGGAGGAGGTTGTATAAAGTATTTTATTGCTGACACGCAGAAGGCTCTAATCCCCCCTGCTCAGGCTACCTACACAAATAGCATTTTGCATTCACAT